CATTCCCACCAGCAGTGGATGAAGGTTCCAATTTCTCCACATCCCCCCCAACACTTGTTATTTTCCATTTTTTTATCTTAGCCATCCCAGTGGGAGTGAAATGGTATTTCATTGTGGTTTTATTTGCATTTCTCTGATGGCTAATGATGTTGAGCATCTTTTCATGTGTCTGTGGCCATTTGAGTATCTTCTTTGGTAAAGTACCCAGCTTTTTATTGGGTTGTCATTTTATTGTTAAGTTGTAGAAGTTTTCTATATACTTTAGATATTAGACCCTTATCAGTTATATTGTTCCCAAAGATTTTTTTCAGTCTGTAGGTTGTCTCTTTACTCTTTTGATAAAGTCTACAGGTAAACATAAGTGTTTAACTTTTATGAGTTCCCAGTTATCTATTTTGTTTTCTGTTGCTCATGCATTGATTGTTTTGTTTCATAATCTATCACTGAAAAGAATTAGGCCACAAATCTTTGCTCTTATATTTTCTTCCAAGAACTTTATGGTTTTAAATTTAACATTTAGGTCCTTGATTCATTTTGAAGTAGTTTTTGTGTATGGTGTGAAGTATGGATTTCGTTTCCTTTTGAAGTCAGACATTTTGATCCAGAACGTGTGTTTTTAACTGCTGTGCCATCTTGTCTCTTGTAGACAGCAAACGGAGTACCAAAAACCAAACCCATTGCTGTCGAGTTGATTCTGACCCATAGCGACCCTATAGGACAGAGTAGAACTGCCCTATGGGTTTCCAAGGCTATGAGTTGGAACTGACTTGACAGCACGTAACAACAACAGTCTTTACAGAAGCAGACTGCTACATCTTTTTTCTGCAGAGCCACTGGTGGATTCAAACCACTGACTTCTCTGTTGGCAGCTGAGCGCTTAACCAGTGCCACCATGGCTCCTTGTAAACGGAGTGGTGGACATTAAATTGCATGGCACATGCTGGCATGTAACATGTAACTTGCTGTTTGTCCGAATCAAAACCAAACCCATTGCCATCAAGTGGATTCTGACTCATAGGGATTTGTCAGGCATTGGTTTAAGTGCTTTATAGGAATCACTTGATTGAATCCTCACTGTGAGGTTGCAATTACAGTATTATCAATCCCCATTCTGCAAAGAAGGCACAAGAGATGAAGTTACTTGCCCAAGATCACACAGTTTAAGAGACAGCCAGGATTTGAACCCAGATAGTCAGGCTCCAGCGTGCTTACTCACAACTGCTCAGCTATACTGCATATAATAGGTTCTTGTCTACTGTCTGGCAGGAAGAAGGCATTCCAGAGGGGTGGTGGCAGGAATGGGGACCATCTATGGATTTGCTGGGTCTTAGTGACTGATTCCTTGTCGTCTTTGGCTCTCTACTTCCTAGTCAGTAAATAGAAATAATGAAACTGTCTACTCTCCCTCCTTGTGGCGTTATGGTCAAGATTGGTGACATCATAGAAGTCAATGCTTGAAGAAGTTGAAAGGACAGCTGCACCTTCCGTGAAGTCTTTACTACCCAGGGAAGGGCCCCACAACCTTTTACAACCTTCTGCTTTGTCCCATGCAGACCATCTATCAGAATTACCAGCGCATCCGAATTCAGGAGAGCCCAGGCAAGGTGGCGGCTGGCCGGCTGCCCCGCTCCAAGGATGCTATTCTCCTTGCAGATCTGGTGGACAGCTGCAAACCAGGAGACGAGATAGTAAGTGGCCATGAGCGGGCCAGGAAGGAGCCAGGTCCGTGAGGAAATTCACATGAGTCATTGTAGCCAAGGGAGTGCGGGGAGCTTAGCTCAGTTCTTAGGCTTTTCCTCCTCATAAATGGATTGGCTGATTGGAGTGTTGGGCTTAGGAGTGGTTTTCCTTCAGTTTTATAAGAATTGTTCATCTTGGTGTCTCTAGTGTGGGGAACTTAGTATAGAAGAAATGGGATGAAGCAGCATAGAGGGGGGCTCTAGCTCCCGTTTCTAACCCCCTTGGTCACTGACCATTTGCTCTCCCTCCCCTAGGAGCTGACTGGCATCTACCACAACAACTACGATGGCTCCCTCAACACTGCCCATGGCTTCCCCGTCTTTGCCACTGTCATTCTGGCCAACCACGTGGCCAAGAAGGACAATAAGGTGGCCATAGGGGAACTGACCGACGAGGATGTGAAGATGATCACCAGCCTCTCCAAGGATCAGCAGATTGGGGAGAAGGCAGGTGGAAGTTGGGCTAGGGATGCTAAACTTCTGGGAGGAAGCAAGGGGGACTCGCT